CCCGGCCGCGGGGAACCCGCCGGGGCACCGCGGGACACCGGGCGGAAGAGCCAGCGCCGCAATCAGCCCTGGGCCGCCCATGGCGCCCGTAGGAACACACTGAAAGGAGACGAGTACCAAGAGCTGGTTTCTTTAGATCCAGAGGCTCTTTCCCAGGAAAAGCTTCACATAGGAAGCACCTCCACATAAAAGCTGGACCCCTCTCATTGCTATTAAAGGACAAAGTCCACGGGGACCACATCTGCCGCCCATGGAAGGTTGTGTCACAGACAGCTGCCCTGTTGCAAGGAGCGTGTCCTGGTCCTGCAGCCCAGCTGTGTGCACTGGAGCAGCTGGGCAGGGCCGTCCTCAGGGTGAATATATCGGCTGTTGCTGAAGGTCGGGGCTGGAGCATAAGGCGGAAGAGAGTGTTTCTCCCAAGGCACTGGAGTGCCTGCTGGGGATGGCCTCCCGGTGCCCACAAGCTCTACTCTCCCTGCTGACCGGGGCAGCACACAGGAGCACGCACTGTTTGTGGGCAGCTGCCCTGATCCCGGTGCACGGGTCACTCCCCAGCGTCGCCTGCGAGAAGGTGGATGAGCTTCCTGCAGTGCCGCGTGGAAGAGGGGCGGGAGCCTCTGCCAGCGCTGGACTGGGAGTCCCTGCTGGCCAGGGCTGCCAGCTTCTCACTGGCTCTGAGAGACAGAAGCACCTACGGAGAAAAGAGAGGCCACAGGAGTCACAAGTCACCTGCCCTCCACTCCTCAAGTGCTGCCAGATGTCCCACAGACTTGCTGGGGGTCCCCCTGATAGCCGTGCTGTCGCACTATGGGACGATACCTGCTGTACGGCCGGGTGCTGGCTGATGGCTCGCAGCGCAACAAGGGCTCCTTCCCGCACGCGCGCCTGCGGGTCCCAGCAGGCCACCTCCAGCAGCACGCTGGGGGCCTTGCTCTGGATGAGCAGGTCGCCCAGCTCAGGCGAGTGCCGGCCCAGGTTGCCCAGGGCCGAGGCCGCGTGGCAGCGCGTCTTGGCCTGCACGTCGCTCAGGAGCCGCGTCAGGCCGGGCACGGCCCTGCCCAGCGGCCCGGCCAGGGAGCACTCGTGGTAAGCAGCATTGCCCACCGCAAACGCTGCCGCCTTGCGCACACGCTCGTCCTGGTCTGCCAGGCACTCCAGCAGGCTCTCCAGCACAGCCCCCCGGCTCTGCAGAAAGCCAGGGCTGTGCCGCAGGAGGTTGCCCAGAAGATTGCAGGTTTTGGCACGTATGGAGTGTTCCCAATGGCCAAGCAGGCGGGTCAGCGGCTGGTCGGCCACATCTGAGGTCCCCAGGATCCTCTGAAGAAAGGGCAGGTGCTCCGGACAGACCCGGGCCACGTGGGTCAAGAGGGACAGGAGGTCAGCTGTGATTGAGGAGTTGTCTGAAAACAAGGCGGTTGTCAAGAAGCCAACAACGCTCTCGGAGGCAGCCGCCTCCTTCACAGTTTGTTCTATGACCTGCTCATCAGACACAACAAAATGGCACAAAAGCCTCATGGGGAGCTCCGTGTCCGAAAAGGGCAGATGGTGACAACAGGCCTACGAGAAAGGAGAGACAACAGTGCTGAGTGATTTGTTCCCATGTGTGGGCTGGAGAGAGGTTGGCCCCGCAGCAAGTCAAGCAGTAGCTAAAGCCTGCCAGCAGGATGGCATGGCACAGCAGACCTGCTCTGTGGACTGTGTGATGTCTGAGTGATGTCCTTGGCACAGGGGAAGGAGGAGGGGGAAGATCTCAGGGTACCTGCAGCAGGTGGGCAGGGATCTGGGAGTCTCTCACACCCTTTGTGAGTGATGCCAAGGTGTCTTCATCCACATCCAGGGCAAAAGGGAAACAGAAGAGCTGGCAGGTCTGGAGCACCACAGCTGGGACAAGCTCAGGATCTCCATCTTCCCCTTCTTGCCTGGATTTTTTGGAGAGATTGAGCTTAACACAGAGGTGATCAGAAAATGGCAGGCCAAGAGACAGACAGCTTTCCTCATGCCAGGCACCAGGGAGAGATTCTGTGGATGAGCTGTTCCCTGTGGCTGTGCCCAGCAAGAGCCAGGTGGGCACTTCTCACCCATCTGTGTACTAGTATTAAGCTGCCAAGGTGCAAGCCATGCCCTTCCCAGTCCCCGATCACAACTCACGTCTGTGCCAGGCATGCCAGGAAGCGGGGGGACAGCAGCGTCTTTAGCGTCTCCATGAGGCCTCCACAGGGCTGGGCGAGCTGAGGCAGGCACTGCTGCGGCTCGCAGGTGAAGACGGAGAGGGCCAGGCTGAGGAAGAGCAGGATGCCTGCAGGGGGAACAGCACAGAACCAGGGAAGGCTGCAGAGACTCCTCTCTCCTGTCTGCCCAGTGCTCCCCATGATGCTCCAGAGTCGCTTCTGCGCTTCTCTGTCTGGGAAAGGACAGCTCTCTGGGCAGCGCTTCATGGCAGCACACACAGTGGTCAATTCTGCCAGGCCGACACATTCCCTGCTGCAGAGATGCCCTTTCCCATTTCTTTGCCCATAGGCTGGCAGGGCTCCTGCTGACTTGGCAGTGTTGGCCAGTCCAGCCTTTGCTCCGAGGAAGAGAATAGAAATGCTCAGAAGTCCCCTGAGTCCCTCTGGCCACAGGGGCCAAATGCTGATAGAGATGGGCATGTGTGCAAGTCGGAGGGCAGGATGGGTCCAGGAGAGGTGCCCTGTGGTCTCCGAGTTCCTACCCTGAGGGGAGAGGAGGTTCCAGTCTGGTTCTGACGTGGGGTGGCCTGTCCCCAGGCTGTCTCCTTCCAGCGTCGCATTCTCGCTGGGCACACGAAGCATCGCAACGACACTGTGCCAGGCCACGCGCCACAGCTCTGAGGCAGCAAAGCTCGGCTCCGCAGCCACATCCTCCTAGTGATGGGGAAGCAGGGGTCAGGGGGCTTTCTAGCTCTGCTCTTCCCTAGGGCTTTGGTCCATGTGCTCGCTCACCCCATGATCCTGGTCAGGTCAGCACTGGGCAGACCAGGCAGCCAGTCCTGCAGTGCCTGCTGATGCTGCCAGTCCTAGGGCACTCCTGCTCTTTCCCCCTCTGATGTTCCCATGAATCCCCATTTCCTGCCTCTCCCCCTCTGGCAAACCCTCCAGAACTCCACTAGAAACTCAGGAATACCGTGCGACTTTCACAGGGTCACACAGCTCAGCCAAATCCCCCTCCAGTGCCCTGGTTTGCCTCTGGCTTCATCACCGATCCATGTTCAGGCTTTTCTGCCCCACACAAAGCCTTGACGGGGACCAGGCAAAGGGAAAGGGGCAGGTCAGTACCTGGGCAAGGAGCTTCAGCA